GGAGAGTAAAAGCACTGACGACATCTATTACTGAAAAAACTAACATTTCTTCACATGCCGGAATAAACCTACAAAAACTATGTTAGACAAATCCTGGAATTTGTCGCTGCAGAATTAGGCTCAGCAGCCAAAACTAATTTTAGAAAAATTTACAAAGTACAAAGTATTGAACTCAGAGTTATGCGAACCACATACAAAAAGCGCTGGTTTCGATTGAAGAAAGAAGGGAAAAATATTCATCCAGAATTCACTGCACCGGAAGCATTGGAAAATTATACACTAAAACAGAAAGTCTAGAAGCCCATCCCATCGAACAGACTCCAAAAATATTTGTAAAAAAAAAAATGACATCTTCATCATCTTTTCCCATCAGTGCATAGGACACAGGAAGCTCTTTCTGCTTTGGTTTCTGTTGTGGATGTTTTCTTTTTTGTAATTGAGGTTCAACTCCCAAACTGGGAAACCAGGATGCTATTTTTCGTCTGACCCACAAGTTCCTAGTGTGGTTGAACCTACCAGGAGTTTACACTCCCGCTGCTATAGCTCTGGGGGTCCTCAGGGTATACAATCTACCAAAAAGACAGTGCTAGAGCACCAGATGGTAGGTAAAAAATTTAGAAACATTAAACTCGAAACAATTAAAAAAATTAAAATGTTTCTTCACCTTGGTACCTACACCTTGTGTCCATTAACCACCAGAGACTCAATAGACCCATAGGAAACACTATCTGACTGCCATCAAGGAGAATTTTTAAAAATAACACACAAGCTCATTAAAGAATAGAACCCAGCAATACTTGGATTAGTGTATACACAGTTGGCTCAGCTGAAGATGCCATTATAAATGGCAAAGTGGAAAGCTTAGTAAAGTCAATTGCCTCAAGTAGCTTTTCTGATAACTTTAGAGCAGATAATGAAGCAATGATATACATAGCCTTTCTCCCAGATACCAGATCTGTCATGCAGTATCTCAAATACACAAGAGCCTCCTATTTCTAATAACTCAGGACAGCTTTTTAAAAGTTAAGCAATATCTGCAGAATGGCAATGCTGCAGTGAAACCCGTGCAATACCCAAGTACGAGGATGAGAGATTGCTGACTAGCTTGCTGAAATTGGGCGAAAGTCAGAACGAACAAAACTTTTACATTCAAGAGAAACACGAAGAGTTGTAAAAAGAAAACATTTTAACAAAATGTCTAACACCCGTCTAGTTCATTAAAAAAAGAGTTCATTTTCAGGCTTAAAGAGCAGGTCACAACCAGACTAGGCAAAAGATGTTTCGCAAAATAAAAGTTGTTCCGACTGAGACAAAGCCTTGTGGTATAGTCCTCGAAAATACTAAACTTGTTTTAAGAGACTGCATTTAGTACCAACAGTCACGGTCTAGAACTCTAGACTCTAGTCTGGTAAAAAAAGTCGATTTTTTTCTTTTTCGTTTCTAGTAATGTATTATTTAGTATAGAGAAAATATTGTAACCGTGCACACAAATTAAATAAGAATTTGCTAGTTTTCACTGTTTCACACCTCCCCACTTTCTCGTGTAAACATCGGAATCGAGATTTGGATCAATTTCTACACGTAAAAACTGAAATCCTGCCCCTATGTGAATGTATGTGTATGTGTCTGTCTGTCTGTCTGTCTGTAAACACGATAGCTTGATTATTGTTTCAGTAATGTATTATATCGAATTCGTAGTTTACATATATGCAGAGGCGTTGCAAGGCTGGGGCAGAGGGGGGGGGGGGTGCTGACCGCACCGGGTGACGCCATGTAGGGGCTGAAACCAAGACCAAAATTTGCAAAATGATGGACTAATTAGAGTTAAAAAAATATTTTTGGTACAAATTGACGCTACCGACAAGGGACGGAGGAAGGGGGCGGGGTGATACCATGCTATAAACCCGCTCACTACAGTGCTACCCAGCTGTATTAATAACCGACTATAGATAAACATGTTTACTATTAACACTTTAAAGCTATCATTGACGGGGGGGGGGGGGGAGTTATGACACTAACTGCAAAATTTACAGCGAAAAAGTTTAGTTGAATATTTTCAATCACTGATAATTTAATATGAAAAAGTTGCAATTTTTCACTTGAACTGTAGGTGGATTTAAGTCATGTGTGCACAAATTCACGCCATTTGGCAAAATGGAAGGGGCTGACACCAATGATAACTATATACATAGCTTTTTTTGGTGGTTGTGGTGGGGGGGGGGGGGGGGGGGTGAGGTGAAACCATAAGGTGGCGAACCGGGTGACACCCGACCTAGCGACGCCACTGCATATATGGTAAATTATTTTTTACCAGTTTGTTTCTATTCTTAATTGTTGTCTTTCATAATTCCATTCCCTGGTGTTCCTTAACTTGCTGGTGTGTTTGGTGCTATTTTACAATACACCGTGCTTGAGTGTTCATTGTTAGAGTGTTCACCGTTAGTTTAATAAATGGCATTGGTTTTAATTTATCTTTATAGAACCATATAGGATTGTGCAGAGGCATAGCGAGGGGGTGGATGGCGGGAGGTGCGGACCGCATCGGGTGACACCATTTAGGGGGGTGACACCAAGGCAAAAAATAGCAAAATATATAGAGAAAAATGATAATTCCACTTAATTAAGTGATTAATTCGAGTGTTAAATAGTCTTTTAAAAAGTGCAAATCGAAAGTTTGAGGGGGAGGGGGTGGAATTCGAAAGTATGAGGGGTGTGCAAATCGAAAATTGAAAGTTTGTCCCCTGGAAGGGTCGATACGCCTCTGGGGGTGACACAATTAAATGCCTTACCGGGTGACACCCGACCTCGCGCCACCACTGGCAGTGTGTTCGATCATTCATGTAATTTTAGTGTGTATTGTGAACTTGGTGTTGTATATTTATTCTGTGTGAGTTTGGTATAAAATTTGGTTACCCGCTTAGTTCGGGTTTAAGTGCATTCTATGTTGGTCAATAGACTGACTGTCGATACCGATCCTCAGTGGGTTTATTTATGTTAATTGATGTTGGTAAATGTTAATTCGTTTGTATGTGTGAATTGCTTGTGTGACGAATGTTATGTGGTCTACATGTTTATTCTATTTTGGGAATAGTTTAGTAGTATAGATAGTAGTATATCAATCACTTGATTGCTCAATTGAAATTGAATATATATATATATATATATATATATATATATATATATATATATATATATATATATATATATATATACACTCATTTAATTTCTTTTTGATTTTTCACTTGTCTGTTTCTATATTTTCAGACTGCAATATTTTTTTCGGTGTTTTGTAACTTGTAAAATTATGTATGGTTATAATTCAATTTATTTAGGTTTTTTTTTATGTAATGTGTAGTAAGTTTCTTTGATAAAGTGTTGACTACAAAGTATTTCTTCCCTAAGTAAATTTGGTTGGTTAACTATCATTTTAAAAAAAAGTTAAAGATTAAGGGTAGGATCCCAAAACCAGAGTTGCATTGTGATAGAGTAGGTAAAATTTGTTACACCAACGTTAGGTTTTGAATGTATGCAACTTTTTGGGTCTAAAGCAGGAGTTAACTTGCAATAGAATATACATTGTTTTGTTCTTTAACTAATATTGTCTTAGAGAAAAATCTGTTTCATATTTTTTTAAATGTGGATCTATCATACTCATTTTTTTTGTCTTACAAGCACATGTGTTCACTTGTTAGAATTCTCATCAGTATAATGTGTTCAAAATTTCATGTTTCTACACAAGCTTTATATGTCAATATATATCAGTATATAAATTTAAATAAATAAATAAATAAATAAATATATATATATATATATATATGTGTGTGTGTGTGTGTGTGTGTGTGTGTTTGTGTATATATAGACAGAGAGAGAGTGTGTGTGTTAATTAAATATAAACAGTTGTCGTTTAAATGTTTGAAATTTTGATGATATGCATTTTTTTATATTCCTAACACACATAAAACTCATCATTAAATTAAAATAAAACAAAAAACATTTCATATCTTTTGTGTTTTTTTTTTTTAATTTTAATTTTCATATTGTGAAATAGTTTGAGTCTTTTATTTATCAGAATACAAACATTTGTACATTTGTTTCGCAATCTATAAAAGATTTTTAAAGATTTGCTCAAACATCCTCAGCTCACAAAATGTGTTAAAATGTCATTGTCACAAGATTTGTTAAATCTACAATAAATCTTCTTTGACGTTTAAAAATAAAAGAAATTAAAGAAAAAATCCTGTTCATTTTTGGCGAATGACGCAATCTGCATCATTGTTAACAGGATACTATTCAGCACTCTGAGTCATCCTATGAGCACGATGGCGCCTATGTTAGTTTTAAGTAGCCAGGGACCGTACACGGCACCTCTGCGGTAGTGTAACTGGAGGCTCCCGAGAGCGCCCCTCTACATCCCTGACACATGGGTGGTCACCGTAGTGTGTTATTCCTCATTATTTCACTGAGTGATTTACGTACACTCAAGGTTTTCACGCGGTAGTGTAGGTAAAATTAATTTAAAGACGTTAATAAATTAATTGATTGATTTATTGGTAGATTAACCACATTAATTATAAAAGTTCAGAACAATGACTTTATAGTGACGTCACATGATCAATTTACTTTTTACAACAATAATGGCGGATTCCATACAATATTGTTGTCCATTCGAAGGTATAACGCTTTATATAGATTCTCTTGCTAATTTTCTGTTCACGTGATGGCAACATAAAGTCAACATAGTGACAACATGTCAACATAATATCAACATGTCAACATAGTGTCAACATGCGTTGTATAGAGGGCAAAAGTCATCTGTGAAGGTTAGGTGAAAAAAATATATAAGTTTTACATTGTTTGCCTTGAAACAGGATCTGACTGTACTAATTAATGAGTAATTTAATGACCCTACACTCGGACAAAAGAAAAAAAAACAGTGAGGAAAATTAATGTATTACATCAGAGAGTAACTGTATAAATAGCCATCAGATTGTAGACAATGTCACTGCTTCACCTGAGGAACTGTACACCACGACAGACAGACAGAAGATTTCTATAGACAAACTGAGATGTCAGCCATCATGTTTCACGTTTTTCTTGCACTATGCTTGACGGTATGTATATTCGTATGGCTACAATCAGTACCGGTTTATATGTGTATATATATATATATATATATATATATATATATATATATATATATATATATATATATATATATATATATATATATATATATATATATATAACAGTAAATATGTACACGTCGCTATATTTGAATAAAACAATTTTCTGAACTCATTGATTTTACTGTCACAATGAAGTGAATTTTGTCTAGATATTAAATTGCAGCATATTAAAACAACTCACACAGTTGTGTCTAGAAAATATTGAAAGAACTCGTTAAACTATATCAGATATTTTGTAGGTGTGTCGGAGTTACTGAAATGTGCCGTAATTATTTCATTATATTTTTTTCCAATTTCTTTTAGGTTTTAGTATCGGCTGACGAGGATCGTAAAACCCCCGCTCCCCCCACCCCCAAACCTGGATGTCTCCGTGCCAGTGACTGCCCAAGCGGAAACTGTTGTGTACTCAACAAGACAATCAACCGTGGCGCGTGTAAACCTCTGCAGGCGTCCAGACAAAGTTAGTGATAGCTTGGTACATTTCTCTTCTGGTCAGGGCTGGGTTCAGAGTTTCTTCGAGGCATCTCTTCGGGGGGGGGGGGGGGGGGAGGGGGGGGGGAGAGAAAAAAGTCTGGTAGAAACACTGACTGGGTTCACGTTCTGAACTGCAATAAGCACCTCAGGATTTCAACCCAACACCCATCCCCCGCCCCGCCCAAATTAACTAAGGAAAATTTAGTTAAATTTAGTTAATTTTAAGATATTTAACATTTTCATGATATCTTCAAAATATGTTTGGTCTAGAAGAAATGCTAATTTTTTAAATCCGTTTTTCAATTACGATGAAGTACCCAGCCTTGTTTGATATATTTTTTCTCAATGAAAATATTATATATATTTGTGTGTTGTTAACCCCCCCCCCCCCCCCCACACCTCTCTCTCTCTCTCTCTCTCTAGCTTCCATTAATGCGCTAAACACATGCCTATATTGCTAGTGGTTAACCAATCTCTAAGTAGTGTATGCCTTCTTCATTTATAAATTTTAAAAGTATACCCTTGAATATATCAAAAACACTTATTTTAAAATCGTAAAATATCTCCTCTTTAATAAGCTAAAGATGAAATGGTGTTCTGTCAAGTTGAGTGTAAAATTGCTACACAACTATATTACATGTGTTTTTATTTGTTATACTGATGCCCTCTTGATTTCACTACTTCTCATATAACACCATCTTTGATATATTGTGAGCTGTTTAGTGGGGAGTTGGTTGTGAGTGTGCTGGAGGGTTGTGTGGGGTGTGACATTTGTGCTACAAATATCGTTACACCTCCACTGGTCACGTGTCTCCAGCTAGAGAACACGAAGCTAACCAATCAGCTTCTGCTTCCAGATCAGTTACTGTGTACTTGCTTATGATGGCCGTATTGTATATAACGGTTTGCTGACTTATAATATATATTGTGCTGACGTATTGTATATAACGGTTTACTGACGTGTTGTATATAACGGTTTACTGACGTATTGTATACAACGGTTGATGACGTATTTTATATAACATTTTACTTGCAGCATGCTACTGGAAGCAGGTGAACCCACGCCCTGACCCCCAGGCTATTGTGACCAGCTATGACCTCTGTCCGTGTGGTTTTGGCACTTCCTGTTCCAGACTTGAGGGCAAAAGTCATCCAACATACGGACCTTTAGGTGAGTAACTTTTTTTTGTTTGTTTTTGAAGTGTTGGTTTGATACTATAGCCGTGCAATGTTTAGGCTCTTGTGTATCGAGGGAAGTTTTTATAATTTTTTTATATAATACATGTTGCTGACAAAGAATTAAATATTTTTTTTATATTTAAAAACTTTCCCAGTTCTGAACTAAAATTTGAAATCTAACATTAGATTATTGACTCTGGCTTATATGTGTTTTAGTTAGCTGTAGTACTATCTAATTTTCAGTTTAATTTCTTTATAATTAAAATATATTTCCCCTTGTAGGTATTTGTACTTGGGACTAAATCAACCACCGAAGTCAACCAGCAATGGATTCAATGGAGTGAGAAGAGAATTTGATACAACAAAAAAGTGAGAAGAGAATTTGATACAACAAAAAAGAAATGAGAAGAGAATTTCATACAACAAAAAAGTGAGAAGAGAATTTGATACAACAAAAAAAGTGAGAAGAGAATTTGATACAACAAAAAAAAGTGAGAAGAGAATTTGATACAACAAAAAAAAGTGAGAAGAGAATTTGATACAACAAAAAAAGTGAGAAGAGAATTTGATACAACAAAAAAAGTGAGAAGAGAATTTGATACAACAAAAAAAAGTGAGAAGAGAATTTGATACAACAAAAAAAAGTGAGAAGAGAATTTGATACAACAAAAAAAGTGAGAAGAGAATTTGATACAACAAAAAAAGTGAGAAGAGAATTTGATACAACAAAATTTGATGCAAGAATAAAAGTTTACACAAACAGACGTAAACACATGAACACAACACCTGTGTACAGATACCTGTGTACACACCACATATGTTCAAGTTGTAATAAAATGCCATGCTTTGTTTACAAACAGTTCAAATAAATAAAGATTCAAAGTACATTTTCAGCTCTCTTATGTATTTTTGTTACTGTGCTTAGGACAAAATATTTCCTGTACAAACAATTTATGCAACTCAAACATCGCTTGATTAGTTGTGGTCAGTGAGTAGTTCACGTGATGGTAATTCAGGGGGGGGGGGGAGAAGAGAGCTTTAACCTTGCTTGATATAGGGCTGGTAAGTAGGTCACCAACCAGTTCTATGGCTCATGCAGGTTTTATTGAGCCGTAGAACTGGTTGGTGACCTACTTACCAGCCCTTTAGGACATACTTGTAAAGTTCAGCCTACGTGTATTCTGCAGTTTTATCTGGAGCTGAAATAAAATTCAGATTAAAAAGAAAATAACTTTAAAATTATGCACTTCTAACTTAACATTCTTCCCTTTCAAACATTAATATCCAAAATCAGCCCTCCAACAGAAATTGGTTCCCTTCATTTTTCTAAACTTTAAAAATAAAAAGTGTCATGAGGTTCGATACAGTTTGAATGAAATATTTAATATACAGTAAATAAAATTTACAGTAACTAAGGGACGGCGTGGCCTAAGCGGTAGAGCGCTAAGTTGCTAACCCGAAAGTTTCGAATTCAAGTTCGAATTCAGGTTCAAGCAAATAGAACGTCCTTAAGTCCACCCAGCTCTTTTGGGGAAAGTAAAGGCGACCAAGCAAAGTGCTGACCACACTCTCCCTTCATATGCCGAGTTCAAGAAACATTTGAACTCTACTTCATCTGCCTTATGTGTCGGTAGGTCTAAATAGGATTCATTATATACTGTAAATAATGAGAAAAAAGAAATATGGACTAAATTAACTAAATTAAAATTCTTCTGTTTATGCCACGACCTGTTATGTTCTTGTACCCAAAAATATGGGACTAAACATACAAGGCGATATTGAAATAACAATTCGACGGAATTATTTTTTTTTTAATTTTCACGCATTTTAATTCTTTAATGGAAATAATATACAATACTTTAAATAGAAATTATAATCCATATTGAATAACTCGTGAACGCTGTCTTCTTTCATTAATTCATTGCCAGTTTTCTCTGGTGGGTAGTAATCCTTGGGTGGTTTCCCTTCTCTCAGAAAATAGTTGGTATATCTGTAATTGATTACACCCAACCGCATCCATACATGTTTTCTTACACCCATTACAATAATACCATGAGACTCACAGGAGTCACAAATCCACAAATTTGATTTAAATTAAAACAAAGTTGTACGGTGTAAAGTTCCAATGCCAAATAACTTTAATAGGATGGTTGACTTACTTATTCTAATCGTAATTCAACTAAGCATAGGTGAATTTATTTTTCTTACCTCAATGGTATTTTAATTATTTAATATACTATTTTTACTATTTTCTTCGCTGTTATATACATTCTAAAATGCATAAAAATATAAATTAATAAACAAATGAACAAAATTTACATTTTTTTTTCTTTTCTACGCATTTTTGAAATTATTTCTTATATTTGAAATTTTAATCCAGTTACATCCCTTAATTAATTTTTATAAAAAATAGATTAACAAAACGAAATTATTAATTCATTTTCATTAACTATTTATACTTAAAATTTTAACTTCGCTAGAGTTAACTGTTATTGTGCACCTGAATTTATAAGATATCACACAACCTTACACCTTATTAATAATGTTACATTAAAATTACTCCAGATGTTTACTTTAATTAGGCTAATTAAAACGTCATTACATGTAGTTTATTGAACTAAGTTTGTAGTGGCAGTGGCGTAGCGAGGTCGGGTGTCACCCGGTGCGCACTTAATGGTGTCACCCCCCAGAGGCGTAGCGACCCTTCCCGGGGACAAACTTTCAAATTTTCGATTTGCACCCCCTCCCCTCAAGTTTTTGAATTGCACCCCCCTCCTCAAACTTTCAATTTGCAACCCCCCCCCCCCTCAATTTTTCTCTATATATTTGCTATTTTTTGCCTTGGTGTCACCCCCCTAAATGGTCCGCACCCCCCGCCCCCCTGGCTACGCCCCTGTGTAGTGAACCAACAGGACTGTCCCGTTCCTTGTCTAGTTATTTTACAGTTATTACTCACACTTTATTGGTATTAGCATTCAGAGCTTACAGTATTTAAGCTGATTGCGTATTTTCGTAACGAAGGAGCTTCTGTTGTTTATGTGTTGTCTAAAGACTCTTAAGGTTGAAATATAATGGTCTTACTGTATCCTTCATTTATATAGTTTTATAATGCACCTAGTGTGTAATAAAAAAATTGGTCCCGTGTACACTCAGCTCTAATGAGTACCGGACATGAGTTAGGGTCAGTCAAGAGGGCTGAGAATAGAACTGGTCATACTATCCAGAGGCGTAGCGACCCTTCCCGGCGCCCGGGGACAAACTTTTCGATTTGCAACCCCCCCCCCCCTCAAGATTTCGATTTGCACCCCCCCCCCCTCAAACTTTCGATTTGCACCCTCCCCCTCAAGATTTCGATTTGCACCCCACCCCCTCAAACTTTCGATTTGCACCCCCCTCAACCTTTCAATTTATTTTTCCAACCCATTTTGGCGCCTCCTAAGGTCGGCGCCCGGGGACATATGTCCCCCCCCCCTCGCTACGCTACTGATACTATCCTTTCATAAGCCGAGGTCACAGAATCATGTTAACATGAACTCAACTGATTTCTTGACGGTCAACTCCGTGTCACTTTTCCTAATCTTAGAATTAACAAGCTCAATACAACAACATCGATTGGGGTTGGAGGGTGTGGGAAAGGGGGTGAGGGGCAGAGGCGTAGCGACCCATTCCAGCGCCCGGGACTTCCTGGTATAAAAATATAGTTATTCTCGTTGGCGAAATAGCCCCCCCCCCTCCCTTGGAAACCGTTAGGGGAGGGTACTTTAATTATGAGGGCTCAAGATTGATGTAAATAATTGTTAAATCAACCCGGAGAACAAATTAGTAATAGTCTATTTCCGAAACTTTGACAGTGCATAATGAAGTAATGCAACTTACAATCAGCTTTAAAAAAATCCTAACCAGCTTGGCGCCCCCTTAGGGTTGGCCTACCCACCCACCCTCCCCTAGCTACTGATCTACCGTAAGACCTTCTATTGGCACACGCTAGTTTATAACTGATCTACCGTAAGACCTTCTATTGATACACGCTAGTTTATAACTGATCTACCGTAAGGCATTCTATTGGTACACGCTAGTTTATAACTTATCAACCGTAAGACCTTCTATTGATACACGCTGGTTTATAACTGATCTACCGTAAGGCATTCTATTGGTACACGCTAGTTTGCAACCCAACTCCATTAAAATGTGAAGACTGTCTTTTGGTTTAGCGGGCTATATGTCAGCTCAATACGGTAAAAACATCATGCTGTTAGTCAAAATCAATATAATTAAGACATGATGTTGGTATAAACATCAATATAATTAAGACATCATGTTGGTAATAAACATCAATATAATTAAGACATGATGTTGGTAGCAAACATCAATATAATTAAAACATCATGTTGGTAATAAACATCAATATAATTAAGACATCATTTTGGTATAAACATCAATATAATTAAGACATCATGTTGGTAATAAACATCAATATTTAAGACACTGGGTTCTTAATTAACATCAATATAATAAAGACATAATGTTGTCGAAAACATAAATGTCCCTTTCAGATTAGGCGTATTAGGTGAGTGAAGTAAGTAACAGTAAAGTTCCCATTTCAGACCTCACGACCCTTAGAGCAAACGAAGCTTTATATATTTCTTGACATCGGAATATGAAGTAATAGTGTGGTCAGCACTATACATATTCACTTTTACTTTTCCTAACTTGAGTCAGGTACCCACCAGGGCTGGGTAGACTCGGTCTACTGTCCCGAGTCCGGACCGAGATCCGAACTCAGGGGCTAGGAGTCGAGCGCCCTACCACTCGACCACACCGTTTTCACGAGGTGGATAAGTAGGGGGTGACAAGAAGCTGAAGCACCGTGAATTTAGTTGAAGGGGGTGGAGGTGTTGGTAAAATGGGTGGGGTGGGGGGGTACACGAGCAAAGAGGGGCAGTGACACAGACAAGGCCAGTAACGCAGATACAAGGTTAGCAATGCAGAAAAGGCCAATAACTCATAGATAGGGGAAGTTACGGAGACAGACAGGGGTAGTAACGTAGAAAATAACACTAACAGTCAGGGATAGTAATACACAAAAAAAAAAAAAAACAAAAAAAAAAAACCAAATAAACATCCACAAAATGAATAAAAATAAACAGAAAATAGTATGTTTGTTAAAAAAATATTCACTCCAACAGTATTACAACTAAACTGTAACCTCTTTTAGCAATCTTAACAACGTTACAGCTTCAACAATCTTTTTCAACTTCCACATATCAACTTAATCATTAACAGAAATATTAACAACGTATCTGAACATAAACTCATGTAACTTTTGTTTCAAGCATAATGAATTTTTTTTTTAAAAATCGCCCAACTTAAAACACGTTTTTATTATTTTATTTTAAATTATGTGTTTCTGCTTAAACATGTGGTTTTTGCTGCATAAAGTCTAGCAAAAACACATATTTCATACCGAGGCTAGCCCTCATTTAAAACAACGTGTTTAGTTGAGTTTTCAGCCTTGACCAAAAATAAATTTCAAGAATTTTAATCGCTTTTTGATGACGAAAAATTCATTTCCCTAATTAGCTACAATTTACTAAATGCGTGACCTCATTTAGTTATAATTAATATATTATATAACCTTAAATTAACGGAAGTTATGTATGATTGGTCAATGCTAGCCATTTGTCACGTAAGGTTAGACCACAGCTCCTGCTAAGCAGGAAGTTAAGGTAACAGTTGCTTCTTCCGATTACAAATTAATTACAAATTAATTACGCGACTGTACAGGAAAGCATGTCCGCGTAAAGTGTAAGTTTTAATGGTGTTCTCGGGTGTATAAATACGGGGGTTGAGCTAGTATCTGACACTTCAGCAGACAATTGAAGCAGAAGTCTCAAGAAACATCTCAAGAAATGGCAAGTTTCACGTTTCAAGTTCTACTCAGCTTGTGTGTTATTGTAAGTATTTAGATTTTGTTTACAAGTTTATGTGGCTGGTATTTTTGTAGAAGGCATTGATGCAATCAGTACGTTTCTGGGAGATATATTAAAGTTTTATCGTAGTGAGTGGTATATCACTGGGCAATATTTCACTAAGCAATATTTCACTGGACGATATTTTACTGGACGTATTTCATCGGGCGATATTTCAATGGGCGATATCTCAGTTTGTTATATTTAACGGGACGATATTTCACAAGTCGTTATTTCACCGGGCTATATTTCACTGGGCGATATTTTACTGGACGATATTTGACTGAGCGATATCTCAGTAGGCGGTAATCGAGTACTCAGAGAAAGATATCTGAGTAAGAAATTTAAATGTGAGCTTCACATCATAAACATTAGATTTGTCCCACAAGTATATTGTGTAACTTCGCCGCGACAGTGAAGTGAGTTCATAGCAGCACTCAAGAACAAAGGGCTATTGTGATGATATTTGTAATAAATAAAGTCTTAATCAGTTTCAATTGAGTAAAATTTATAATAGGCCTACAGAAAATATTTTCACGCGCTACCGCGGGTTAGAATCGAAGCTAGGGATACGCCTATGGATGGAATCGGGAAAAGGAATCAAAATAGTTTTGAATATGTTCTGGCACCGTTGTAATAATTATCCCGCTTTTAATGAGGAAAGTAATTAAATATTTTACAATGCTAATGAAAAAAATAAATAAAATGTTATTTTAGGTGCTGGCCACAGCCGATGAAGAATACCACCATCACCCTCCTCCCCCCACCCCACCTCCCACCACCACCACCCCTCGCACTACCCCCAGACCTGGATGTCTCCGTGCGAGTGACTGCCCCTACGGGAACTGCTGTCTGCTGAACAAGACGACCAATCGCGGGGTCTGTAAGCCTCTACAGGCGTCCAGACAAAGTGAGTTGAAAACAATTCATTATTTCATTAAATCATTCCCGTTTTTTTTAAAGTCTAGGTAAGAAAGTTTAAGAAAATAAAAAAAAGTAACATGAGAAATGTCAAGAACAAATTATTAGATTTTTTAAAAGTGAAAAATAATTATCTTTTAAAAGATTATTGAATTGAATAAAGTTCGCTTATGGTTCATCTTTCTGAAAGACCTCTTTCCAAAATTTTCACTATTGCACACTAATTCTTTTTCCAAACTTTCCACTTTTATTTAGAATCTTTGCAAAATGTTCACTTTTCTCGCGTATTTCACTTTTCAAAGTGTCAATTTCATTATTCTCACTTTCCGAAACGTCCACTTTTCTATATTTCCTCACTTTCTAAAATGTCCACTTTTCTATATTATCTCACTTTCCAAAATGTCCACTTTTCTAAATTATCTCACTTCCCAAAATGTCCACTTTCCAGCATGTTACTGGAGTCAGGTCAACCCACGTCCCGACCCTCTGGCCATAGTGACCAAGTATGACCTTTGCCCTTGTGGATATGGAATGGAGTGCACCAAACTTGAAGGCAAACGTCACCCAGTCTTTGGACCCATCGGTGAGTCATGTACACCAACCGTCATCTCCTCGCATGATGTGTTTTAATGTTTATCTTTGATATTAAACAAACAGCTGCCATTGTTTTATCATGATATTAAGATTATCTTAATTTTCTTTTACAGGTATATGCACTTGGGACTAACTGAAGTATCTCGATGCCATTTCAAAATATCAAAATTATTACAATACCTGAAGCTTAATGAACAACTAAAGCAACATTTTGATTAAAACTGAATCTAAGTTTTATATGAATTTGACTTGCTTTGTCTTACATAATGTGGTCTGAAAATAATGTTGTTTTTGTTTCATGTCTAGACACTTTATGTTTTTGCTTTGCTTACATATTTCAAAATAAAGTTCAACGGTCGTCTTAGCGAGCAATCAGATGTAGCATAATAAAGAGTTACATTGCCCATCAGTGAAACTTCAACACTTGCTACGAATTGTAACGAGTAGTGAGTTCAGCTATACCGCAGTCAATTTTGCTTTCTCTAGAGGCAGTGACGCTAAACCAACATTATCTCGGCTCACTCTCCGTTCCATAACCTATGGAAAACAATTCAAAGAAAGCCAAACATTAAGAAAACAAGCCAGCCATTTATAAAGTTGAATGGATCATGTTTAGGGCAATGTTGACTAGACTTGAAACTTGCAATAGACTGTCATATGATAGCTGTGAGCGGTTACACTATTAGACATTAGTTTCCCTCTTCCCCTTATGTGAAATGATCAACAGTTCATTTACAATTGATCAGGAGAAAGGGGGGGGGGGATCGTCACAATACAAATATTAACTAAGTCTCAAAAACAAAAAGTTAAGAATCCGCTTTAGACCTAGCGATCCACTGCAAATCAAAAGTTTGAGGGAGGGGGGGGGGGGGTGCAAATCGAAAGTTTGTCCCCGGATAAAAATTGGAACCCCCCCCCCCCCCCCCTTGAGACGATCCTGGCTACGCCACTACTTAGATATATATCAGAACTCCGTGCACTTGAAGACATCGCTGAATACAGTCGAACAACGGTGGACTGGTTGTATCAAAGAAGTCTGGGACATTCTTTTAAAAGTTGTCCACAACCCAAGATTTTAGATTTTAATGCGATTTTTGTCCAATCAAATTGTGAATTTTTCGTCTTGGTAGGAAATAATGGACATGCTAAAATGGAAAATACCAACAAATAATTTTTTTAAAACTCAAAACACTAATAGGGGTGTTACAAAACATCTCATTGGGGCTCAGAGAGATTTTTCTTTCCCGGGGACACACAGGGATTTTTCCCGGCAGACCCACGGGCCACCCCTGCTCTCAAATATCACACTCTTTAAAGATTCCCTGTTCCGTGTGGCCGAAGAATTGGCTAAGAATAGGATTCGTTAAGTGCGTTAGACGTGCAAAGTATTCATCTCTCTTCTAAACTCGGATTCAGGGGAAACAACTTGTAAATAATTTCCTAGCATCATTAAAATAACACTTAAGGTGTTAGATCAGTAATTAGAGCATTGAATACTATCTTATTATAAATAAAGAAATAACATCCTAAAAAAATGTTATAAACTTATAGTTCAATCTAATAACTCGGAAATATTTTAAGATACTTCAAAATAGAAAACTTTTAATTGCTTATAATATTTTTGTTATAAAAATATTGTGACCTGTAATAATTTAATTATTTCAGCAAGGTCGTTAGATTTTTTGTCACATTTTTTAACCACGCCGAGGGGAAAAATTCCTTGAATCATCTTTTAATTACGCAATTGCATTTTCAGGTTTTTATTTTTAATTTTTTTTTTATATTTAGACGTTTGTATTAGATCTTTGTATAAGTAAACTATCTTAAATGAATGAAAGCAGGCTACAAGTAAAAAAGAAATATTACTATTGTAAATCTGTATCAGTCCTCACAAGCCGGTGATGAAAACTGTAATACTAAAGCGAACACACAACTGACGCTTTAAATTACATGTCTGAGGCGAAAAAGAGAATAGAAAAAAAAATTGTAACCACAATTTTAACTTTTGGCTTCACAGTTGAAGAAGGGGCACAGTAAACCAAGCTTCCAAAACAGTTACACACCCTATTTTAGTCCAGTTCATTTGCCATACTGTTTTCTCCATTTAATTACTATATAATACTATTTATGCTCATGTCTTTGAAACCGTATAAAACTACAAAAAAAATTATTATTACTAAATTAAATGTTTAAAATAAATGTATTTAAAAAAACAAAGAAACAAAAACAAAAACAAACAACAAAAACAAAAAACAAAAAACAAAACAACAACAACTGTGGGAGGACTGCTATAGATATAGATGTTTGAAAGGGAAGAATGTATGCTTTGATGTGTACTCAACATATCCCTCAGGCTGCTTTTAATATTTATAAGATTATTTTTCTTATACCCAAATTTGTTTCATCTCTACTTATCAGCCCAAATCCCCCCCCCCCCAACCCACCATGCCGTTTAAAAAATCCCTTGAATCACCATTTAATTACACATTTGCATTTTTAAGTTATAAAATAAAATTGTAGACTTTATATATAAGTAAAACATTTTAAATGAAAGAAAGTAGGCTACATGTAATAAAGATATATTACTATTGTAAATATGTATCAGTCCTCACAAGCTGATGATGAAAACTGTAATACTAAAGCGAACATGGCGAGGCAAACTGACGCTGTGAATTACATGTCGGAGACGGAAAAAAAATTGGAATTGTTTTTTTTTTTTTGGTTTAACCTGATATTTACAATGTTACTAGCTATCGGTACCCGTTACATGTGAGTTATAGGCCCATATTTTTAAAATGTTATACTCGTTTCATAAAAAAAAACTTAAATAATTATTAGAAAAAATAAAACCAAATCATATACATTATTAGTCAACACAAAACCATATTAACTGCCCACATCGATTAAGTGACTTAAATAATTCCGTTAAAACCCAGCTATTCAGTGATATTATTTTTTTTTTAAACTAATTTTTTTTGGCCGAGAAAATTGTATACATTTTATGGCGTACGTTAATTTCTTCATATTCTAAAATTGGAAGAAGTGAGAAGAGAATCTTATTGAATTGACGTCATTAAAATTGTGTATCAATTTCAACAGCAGATTTTTTAATTCTATTTTTTATCCTACAATCAATGACGCCATTGGTGTTGTGTACTTTCTGTATTTTCTATTTCGTTCTTTTTGCCAGTGATAGTTTTTGTGCTACTTGTATGTTCTCTAGAACGTTCTTGTCACAACCATAGACACTTCTCCGGTTGCATAATTGAAGATGTGTTTCTACATTCGAATATGCCTTGATTTTTAATTCTCCTTCTTGTAATAAAATCTACTTTTTACATTTAATACATCCAACATAATATTATTTTAAACATAGTCCGTATCTTTAATTTATCCATATAGTGCTGACCATACTGATCTCATAGCCTCAGAAAATATAAGACGGGCATAGAGAAAGAAAGAGAGAGAGAGAGAGAGAGAGAGAGAGAGAGAGAGAGAGAGAGAGAGAGAGAGAGAGAGAGAGATAAGTGTGCACATTCACTTTTATATATTACGATAGTTCTTTAATCCCACATTTATTTCAGCTCCACTTATAAGCCCTAACCCATCAACCCACCACACAGAAAAACAAAAACAAAAAGATATCCTTCTATTTTTAGATCGTTAAATCAACATTTAATTACACATTAGCATTTCCAGGTTTAAAAATAAATTGTAATTAGACGTTTAGTAATATGTATAAGTAAACCGTCTTAAATAAAATGAAAGTAAATATCAGAAAGAAGTATTACTATTGTAAATCTGTATCAGTCATCAAAAGCAGATGATAAAAACTGTAATATCAAACAGAGGCGTAGCGACCCTTCCCGGTGCCCGGGGACAAACTTTTCGATTTGCACCCCCCCCCCCCCTCGAGATTTCGATTTGCACCCCTCCCCCCTCAAACTTTCGATTTGCACGCCCCCCTCGAGATTTCGATTTGCACCCCCCCCCCCCCACTCAAACTTTCTATTTGCACCCCCCTCAACCTTTCAATTTATTTTTCCAACCCATTTTGGCGCCCCTCGCTACGCTACTGATATCAAGCGAACATGGTGTTAATGCCAAGGTAAACTGACGCTGTAAATTACATGTCTCTTTGTCTGGGGCAAGAAATTTGTTTAACTCGACGGCAGGAAACAAGGGGAGGGTAAACTTGAACACTTCTACAGCATCGATTTCCTTCAACTTCGTAAAGTTGGGTTACGACCCTATGACAATACAATGGGTGTTTAATAAAATGACTTTTATTAGATTTATAATGTATTTCACTCTCTCACTTAGTGGTGTGTGTTTGGGCGTGTGCGTGTATGTGTGTGTATGAGCGTATCAGTTGCGTTGAAGAAATCTCTTACATAACTGTAAGATCATATATTTTGATTGCTTTCAATTTTTGAGTGAACTCCGATTTTCGGAAGTGGTACATGGCACTTTTTCCTTCCGGTATTTAAAATTCCGATAACTTGAGTACTGTTTATGTTAGGCAGTCGAAAGTACAGTTATAAAAGATATAAATATTGAGTGTTTTTGCGGTAAACGGGGGTGGTATTTTATCCTACTTCCGGGCAAACACGAGAATTTGAGTACCGTTTAATTTAGGTGAACGAAATTCAATTTATAAGTACCCGAAAATTTATATAGCGCCCCCCCCCCTTCCCCTGAAAATTTTAAGTGCCGGAGAAAAATGTCTGGAAGAAACAGTGATTGAAATACAAAAGAAATAACTTTTTAAAAACACGGATCTGCCCTAAAAAGACAAATAAACAGTTACAATAAAAAAAAAACAACTAGTGTTGTTGCTGAATAATCAGAAAATATTGATTTAAAATGACTTTCTCTAAAACGTATAGACATAGTTTTTATTATTCAAAGATATAAGCTAATATAATACAAAATACTTGCTAATATGCTGAGAAATATAAATTTTAAAAGAACCTATGTCATTTAACTAAAATTTATGTCCGGCGTTTCTTATGCAACATTTCATTTCACGGAAGCAATGCCTGATTGATAAGTTCTAAAGCGAAGACATTTGTCATTTGACATTTGTCATTTGACGCAAGACTTTATATCCTGTTACGTGTAATAGGAAGAAGACAAACGTTGGCTCTACCAATTTCAAATTAATTTAAAACATAAAAAATCTTAAATGTACTGGAATGCAGGTCCACGTAGTATGTAAGTTTTAATGCGTTTCTCGGGTGTATAAATACAAGGGTTGTGCTAGTATCTGACACTTCAGCAGACAATAGAAGCAGAAGTCTCAAGAAACATCTCAAGAAACATCTCAAGAAATGGCAAGTTTCGCATGTCAAGTTCTACTCGCCTTGTGTGCTATTGTAAGTATTTAGATTGTGTTTAAGTGTTTTGGTGTTTTTGTGGGAAGTATAGCCGTGGGCGATATCTGACTGGGCGACATATTAGAGGGCGTCAGTATAGTGGGCGTTATCGAAGTGCGAGATATGAATTGGCGATATCTAATTAAGAAACGAGGTTTAGTGATCTAAATCAGAGTCAATTTTTACTGATTGTTTTATATTTTGTTATATTTATGTAGCCAGTCAAGTTAATGAAACGACCCTGATTGTTAATTTAAATGAGAGCCTAATAATATAGGAAATTTTATACGAACTTTTTGTAGTTAAAAATATCCTTTGTATAAAGTGTTATTGAAATATTTTTAATCGAAAGATAGAGTAATAAAATATTTGTAAAGTTATTTTTTGGTTTTAAAAAAAAACGCTAAGTAGATACAACACTATTGTTTCGAGTTTTCTATTGTCGCATACGGTCGGGGTTAAGATTAGTTTTATGGATAGTTTTATGATTTTAATAGGGTTTGAAGCAAAAGTAGTGTTAGGGTTAGCTCTAGGGTAAGTTTTACTGTACTAATACTTTTAAAATTAGGAAAACTAAAAAAAATGTTTATTTAGGTGCTGGCTTCGGCTGATGAAGATTACAAACACCATCACCCACCTCGCCCTACCCCACCTCCCACCACCACCACCACCACCACGACCACCACCACCCCACCTCCCACGACCACCACCCCTCGCACCACCCCCAGACCTGGATGTCTCCGTGCGAGTGACTGCCCCTACGGGAGCTGCTGTCTGCTGAACAAGACGACCAATCGCGGGGTCTGTAAGCCTCTACAGGCGTCCAGACAAAGTGAGTTGTAAACAATTCTATCAACCGATTATCTCGCATTATTACTTTTCTTGGGAATAATTTATCTAACCAATGTGTTTGTCTCATCCTAAAAAAAAAATATCAATAACGCTAAATTAGATTGTAATAAAAAAAGTGCAAACGTATTTTAAAATGTATTTAAAAATGATCTAAAAAGCGACAAAAATCAAAAGTAGAAATCGTTTAAACAAAACTTAAAAAAAAAAAACCTTTTTTTTTGGGAAACACTAACCGGAGATCTGTTCTAGTAAAGGTGTGAAAAATGGACGACTTATTGTATAGAAAATGTTCCAATTTTTTTTTCATTTAAGAAAAAAAGTCCAACTATTTAACTTCATGGTGAACAAAGTTGTCTACATTGCTCAAAGTTTTATTTACACAATATTCACATTTTTATATCTTACTTTCCGTAATGACCACTTTTCAGCATGTTATGTTATTGTTGCATTTATTTTGATTTAAAAAAATGTCCAATTTATTCAACTTTCTAGTGAACAAAATAGCAACATTTCTCAAAGCTTTCTGTACAAAATGTCCACTTTTCTTTATTATCTCACTTTCCAAAATGTCCACTTTTCAGCATGTTACTGGAGTCAGGTCCACCCACGTCCCAACCCTCTCGCCATGGTGACCAAGTATGACCTTTGCCCATGCGGACATGAAATGGCCTGCACCAAACTTGTTGGCAAGAGCCACCCAGTCTTTGGACCCATCGGTCAGTCAATTGCCCTTCTGGTCGTTTTATGGAGTTTTTTGTTTTTCTACTTGATTAGTAGTGTAATATTAGTTATGGATATAATATAGGCTGTTATGTGTTTCAAATACTGTAGTTCGTTTTATGATCTTACTAATATATTTTTAATATTCCTTACAGGTATATGCACATGGGACTAAATAGAGTATGCTGATGTCATGTTAAACTATCAATTTTTTCACCTGAAAAACTAAAGTTTTATGTGTCATAAAATCAGTTTCTTGAATTAAAAACAGAATATACGTTTTACATAAATCTGATTTGTTTTATTTTGAATAATATATTTAAAAGTTATTATTTGTTTTGGTCTAGTACTTTTACTTACATTTTGTTTAGTTTTTCTTGACCACAAGAAGTCTCTGGTAGACCCTCCACATTTAAACGTGTGAGTTTGTAATGGAGCTTCAAAAACACAAAACGTCGCCATTGTTTACATAACTTAAAAAGAAATTTAAAAAAAAACCACGGTAAATGTAGTATATAAGCCCGACATTTATTGCCTACTTTTGTGCACTGTTGTGGTTACATTGTCGTGACATCCAATTATGTCTAAAATAATTAATTAGAAAAAAATGTTACATCAAATAAAAGGTTAAAGGTAGCAAAAACAAATGCATGAATTACATGTTTATGTATTGCTATTTTAACAAAAGTGGCTTTACACACCCAGTTAGATTTCCGCTTCACAGTACTAAACAGGATCTTAACAGGTAGCAGTGGCTAACAAACTTGATGAATGGGGGTTGAGATCTTATGCTACAAGGGCGCGCAGTTAGCATGTTTTAGGACATAGGTTACTGTGTTCATTTACTCGGCGACACTTAGCATAACTAGACAACACTAAGAAAAGGATAGAAACATTAAACACGTAGAAAAGCAAAGACAGTTTTTGTCTTTAGGTAAGAGGAATTCATATCTCACGGTATATTTGCATTGATTCTAACTTTTAAAAAAAACATTTTTGAATGAGCTACTCTTTCCTACAAATTTTACGCCTAGTTTTACATTTAGCTGTTCTTTTACCTATGAGTTTATGAAACAAAAGTCACTTTGCAGCTGAGGTTTGTCTTATAGTTTTCATGTTAAAAATAGAAGGAATTTGATACAAAATTGGGTTGATGGCGGAGGTGAGCGGTATGATCAAGACAGCCAACCAAGCGTGCACGTCAGGGCTCAGCTCATACCCATTCAGCGACAGCAACCCTAGCACCCCAGCCGGTAAGAAGCAGCAGAGATCCACCACAATCAACAGAGACATATTTCTTGAGGCTACACTCGCTAATTTTGTCATGGCTTTTTCAGAATCCACGACGTTTTCTATTTTAATATTTCCCGAGGTTACCATTTCACTCTTCTTTCTACTTCCCAATTCATTATTGTCTGCAGCTTTTGTTCCAATATTTGTTTTATCTTCCATTTCACTATTCACAGAGGTTTCCGTTTTACTGCTCATTGGGGCTTCCATTTCAGTATTCAAAGAGGCTTTCATTTCAGTATTCAAAGAGGCTTTCACTTCAGTATTCAAGGAGGCTTTCATTGCAGTATTTTGTGCAGCTTCCGTTTGACTATTTCTTCTACCTTCCATTCCGCTTATTCTTGCAGGTACCATTTCCTCATTTAGTGAAGCTCCGATTTCACTCATTTTTACAGTTTCCAAACCAAAATTCTTAGCAATTTTCACCTTAATTTTACAGACAGCTTCTGTCTTTAGAAACCTTCTGTTAAAGTTTTGATATATTTTCTTATTAACTGCTGTACTTATCATTGACTTTAAAATGATCATTTCACCAAAGGTGATTAGTAATAACAAAGCAGAGTTAAGATAAATGATCAGCTTTGGGACAAACTGCCAACCTGGGGTAGGTATAGAAATCAAAGGGACGTAAATACACGTCCCAGTAGAGGCGTAGACCCCCGCCTGTCCGAACAACGGGATGGAAGGAATCAGAGCGAGGGTGACGCCCACCAACCAGGTCAAGACACACACCACCACAACCACCTTACGTGTTAGTTTTATTTTAAACGATGGACATTTGACGGATGCCAGTCTGTCTAGGGTCATCCAAAACACTAACATTTTAGACATTATGAAGGATATGGTGTATAAAAAACCGAAAAAATGACAGACAACCCCGTGTCGCCAGTTCATTTCCTTCCACAGATACTCTCCCCTGAAGCGAGCATCAGCAGAAGCTACTACCAAAAGGTAAACACCCATGAGCAGGTCTGAAAAACCAAGTTGTGTTAGTAAAGGATCACAGATGTTTAGAAACGTTGGCTTGTTCAGAATACATCTACAGAAGATTGCAGCGATGTTGCCAAAAACAGCAAGAAAGCCGTTGGCCCATAGAAGAACCCGGAGAATTACAGAGTTTACGAGATCAGAGCACGATGAAAACGGATCAGTTGGATGCAGGCAGCCAGACAAATCACTGCGGACGTTGTGAAGGTTGGGACAGCACATCTTGAAACTGTCTGCCAAAAGCTTGTTCTTGAAGATGAAGGATCGAAACATGTCAGGAAACACGGCTGCGTCTCTTGTCTGTCTAATGTCAAGGACGGACATGCGGACCACGTGATGGGACTTCGTGACGGAGACCGGCGTGCCGCGTAAGTTCAAACATTTTAAGTTTCTCAGCACGCTAAAAACTGACCAGTCTAGAACCTGTAGACCAGTGAACGACAAATCCAGTTTTTCAATATTTAAACAGGACCGTGTCATGCCAAAAGCGTTGGTCTGTATTAACCGAAGCCGAAAATTCATTGTTAAATTCAAAACTACAAGCATTGGCATAAACTGGAATATATTAGATGATGTTATGTTTACAATTACGTTTCTACTTAAATCGAGGAATCTTAAGGACGCAAAAGTTCCGTAGAGATTATGACGCGTCTCGACGCTTGAAATATTACAGCCGGCGAGTATTGCCGTGTCTAAATAAGAAAATCTGACTTTCGGAACCGCTGGGAAAACTCTAGAAGCATCAACTCCAGTTAGGTCTAAATACCGGACGGCTGAGTTTATAAATGAGATATTGTTGACACGGATGGACGTATCGGTTGCTATGACAACCCCAGCTAAACAAATAAACCCATCCGCACACGGGATGTTGCAGTTGAGCTCATCATCTCCTTGCGGACACTGCTTCTCTCCGTCACACACGTGATCAGGATGCAGACACACACCAGACACACACACGAAGTAGCCAGGACAGTCGATCTTCAGATTGACGTTTTCATCCTCGCCTAAAGGACACTCGTACTTGCTGTTGTGGAGATAGTGGGATGGGATACAATACGATTTAGGACATTTATAAAAACCTTCCGGGCAAAGAAATTCCTCACAGTTGTTTAAATGATTCATATTTCTACACCCAATCGTTTCACCGTATCTATCTTTTATATAAACACACTTTGGTGCCCAGTTGGCGTAAGGGATTTGAACAGAACCAGCCTTAAAACACTGCGTGGGTTCTAAACTTCCCAGCCTCTCGTCTATGGGACCTTCAGGCCCAAGACAGTCGATGACGTTGTTGTTCAACATGTGCGGGTACACACACTTGGTCCGGTTGCAGGTGAAGATGCAGTCCGTGATGTTCGTGTCTCGAGTTGAGTTCATCTCGATCTGAATGTCGTTCTCGCTGCACGTATCGCAGTCGACCTCCCCATCCCCGAACAAATGTCTGGGCAGACAACGGCCATCTTGGCACCTGGAGTGTTGGCACTTGAAGCAGTCGTCTTCATCGTCTCCATCCCTGCAGTCCCTAAACAAATCACATTGATACTCTTTCGGGATACACTCGCCAGAACGGCAGGAGAATTCGGACGATGGATCACAAAATCGGTGCACGCAGTGAGCCTCGTCCTGGTTTTTTAAACAATCGGGATAAAAATCGCAAACAAAGTTGTAAAAAATTTGATTTTGAAGGTTTTTTTGGCAATCGAATTTCGGGAGGTTGTTGATAAAGATAAAATTGTTTGTCAAATCTTTCACTATACGAAACTCGTGTACATTGCCTACGTTTGCGCTTAGAGATATAAACGACCGTTTGTCGTCTGTGTGCATCAGTTTCCCGCGGGTCAAGGCCGTTTTGATACTTTTTGCGCTGGGTTTTGACAGTCGGTGATGTGATTCCGCCTCCACGTTGGCTATAAGACCTTGTAGTTTCAGATTGATCTCGCACAGCTGGTAGTATCTGCCGTACAACCCGCAGCCGACACTTGACCAATATCCGTAAGGGTAAGTCGATTTAACCATAACCCCATCCGAGTTTTTGTCGTGTGGGTCGGTGTTATGGGTCGTTTTGTCTCCGCTCGTGCTCGCGTTAAACGTCCACTTGGCACAACTTGCCGAGATGCCGTTCTTTGGGTGCCCTTCATTCCAGAGTGTATACACCAGCGGCATGTGACTCACCCATCTGAAGCGTCGACCTGTCGTGTAGTCCTCACGTTTGAGTCCTATAAAAACATCAACATTTGAACACGACGCATTTTTCTGAGCAGCGACCCACTTTCTGATTTCGTGGTAGAGAAAAATCAACTCGTCTTTCGTTTCCATGGAGACGAGCTCAGCGTTATCGTTCTCGCAAGCTTTGCTGGCGTCCATCCAGTTGTTGCGTACGATTTCTTTGATCTGGTAACAGGAAACCAGATCCGTCGATTTACCCAACCCAAAGGGGAACCACCCGTCTTTACAGGCCTGACAAAGTAACGGGGAGATAACTTCTAGAAGAGCGTCGTCTGTTAAATCTCGAACAAAAACATAATCGTTTCCGGTTTGATTTTGCGAAGAATTATGGTCGCCAAAAATAATTTTAAACGTTTTTAGTCTGTCTGGGGACTTGTCAACGTGGGCTGTTGAGTTTGAGAAGTCGGCAAGGACGATAACTCTAACAGCCGAGCGCCGTGACGTGACAATATTTCCGCTACACACAGCTTCAATCAGATAGCATAACAAACTAGCCATTGGATATCTCGGACCCGCCTCCACACTGCGATCGTTTTCTAGGGCAGCTTTCAAATCTGATTTAAATTCGAATTCTTCAAAATCGATTTTCATCGTGGAAATTGGTTTATCACAACTATCAGTATCAGGTTGGAAAGGGGTGGCGTTTTCTTGGAGCGAGGGTACGGACAACGAGGCTCTAATCCGGTTGAGTTTTTTTTCATAGGGTGGGGAAAACACGTCGAAAATTCTGGAAAAAAGCCGCATCTGTCTCTGGTATTCGCGTGTTGGGTCGGCCACAAA